GGCCAACCGCCAGTCCAGCAGGCCTGCCAGACCCCAAGAACCTTCGGGAAAAAAATTTCGAAAAAAAGAAAATAAGAGAAAAACTAATAAAAAGAAGGTAAAAATAATAAAATAATAAAAGGAAAAAAGGAAAAAGAACAGACAATGGGCCACCAGTCCTAACACAGGGGGCGGCCGTGCTGCAATTTAGCGGTCTTGCCCCTTGTCCTTACTACGCTGGACACCTTCAGTCATGCCCGTCTTGCGCCATGCCGAAAACCCCACACAAGCCCTCCTTCTCAGAATGCCCGACCGCTGCTCTCCCCAGCCCGCCAGGCATTAGACCCAGTCGAACCATATGCCCCACACAAGCCCTCCTCCTCAAAATGCCCGACTGAGTTTGGCTTATCTGACAATGCCACTCGATCCTTGGTGGAGGCCTACAAGGAAGACCCTGTCACGATGGACATCATTCGCAAACTCGAGGCCCAGGACAAGGCCACATCTGATTGAGTTTGTGATGGTGGATAGGTTGCTCTTTCTTGGGAAGGTAGGGGAATGTGTTTAGGTCAAGGCTAGTGAGTTGGGACAGGAGTTTGGCATCTCTAGAAAACTAATGCCTCAGTATTTGGTCCCTGGGAAGTCTTAGACATTGTGGGTAGTGAATTGGATGGTCGCTCATACGCCATTCGTATCCCTGGTCACCTACGCACTTACCTTGTGTTTCACGCTTCAAAGCTCGCACCTTTCGCTGAGACAGAACAGTTCCCATCACGGAGATCTATGCTGCCCCCAACCATGGATGGCCACGTGGACGTCGAAAATATCCTGCAGCAGAGAGACATGCCTGTTCCCAAGCCAGCCGGCAGGGGTAGACCGCCTAAAGCTGCAAGAGAATACAAAGTACGGTTCAGGCATCATACGGATCCTAAAGAAGATCTATGGCTTAGGAGGGAGGAACTGGTCAAGACAGCTCCTCAGATCGTGGCCGAGTATGAGAGGAAACTGAAGGGGAAGGCACCAGCATGAAGCATCTCAGTGGACTTCCGAAGCTAAGGGGGATGGAATGCGAGGAAAGAGCCCTCACAGGGCCCTTATCAGACAAACACATGTTCTGGGCAGAGGCCCCCAGCAAGCCAAGTGCCCGCCCTAAGTGAAGGCAGGCCTGAATACTCATCAGAGGCCAAAACTCGACATTTTCATATACGGGTACTCAGGCTGTTGCAGCCCCCCAGTTTGTTGAGTGGACGCGCGAGCCTCCCTAAGCTGCGTCGTACAGTTGGCCCAGGCCTTGGCAGTTGCGCCTGGGCCCGTACACAAAGCAGGGACGATACATCATGAAGTGGCCACAGGCCTATGCAAAAGCAGTACTGTCGACGTACCTACCCCGGCCGGGGTCCTGAGCAAGTGCAGCAAACGGCCCAAGTCTGGAGACTCAGACCGTGCCCAACTGTAAAGGGCCCAGGCCCTCAACTGTAGTCTCGGGCCTGGGCGCAGGAACTGGGGCCCAACAGGAAGCTACAACAAGCTTCCAGCCAGGCCACACGCAGCAACGCCGGGGCTGCCACTTCCATATAGGAAGGAGAGCAGCCAGGGCCGGGGTACTCTGGCCCACGCAGGCAATGCGGCCACGCTGCTGCGCCGCTGCGTTAGATGCTGCGTGCTGCATTGAGGCCAGAGCGCGTGCGGGCGCGTGTGTGGTGAAGTGGGGCGCTGCAGGGCAGCGGAGCGCTAGCAGCCATAGTCGGGCTGCAGGGCGCTAGGGGGTAAGAGGGCGATCGGCGGTCTTCAGGAAGAAGGCGAGTGTGGGTGGACAGGGTCTGATAAGGGGAAGCAAGATACATACCTGGTACATGTAAGAGGTCAGCTATGGTGTTGACGTCCTGGTCATTGGTCTTCGAGAGTCAAAGTGAGCCTGTTGCGAGAATGCTGATGTAGGTAGGATAGTCAGGTAGTGTAGGCTGGGCGCTGGGCGCTGGGCGCCAGACAGAGAGGAGCGACTTTGGATACTGTGTTGGTGTGGCCTGAGGGCTTGAACATTGGCTCATTACTTCATTGTATTGCTCTTATTTGGATGGGATCTCGGTGCAATTGTGCTCTCTGCTTGTACACAACTACCTGGACATCTGTGTGATTTCGCAAGTTGGTTTTCTGTATATCGTTCCCACTCATATTCCTTGCAGATGCAAAATTCAGCGAAAAATTCAAAAACGAACTATATGCGCCCATAGTGCAAACAGCATCAGTAAATAGACTGTGATAGGAAAATAGTGAAGTCAAATCATATCTGGAGTCCTGGAGGGGGTTCAAGAGGTCTTCCTAGATTGCAGGTAGTTTTTTGGTGTCACTGGCATTCATCCCCTGGCAACATGGCAATCAATGCTGCCAAGTGCATAACTCTGTAATTGATGTAAATGAGGTGTTTCCAGCTATGTAATGGGACTCTGGACCCGATTTCCAGCACGTGACGCTCCCAACAACAACAACAACAACCACCACCAGCAGCAGATGTTTCTGGTCAAAGGAGCAGTATCCAACCCTGACACCAACCACTTGATGCAATGTCCTAGAGAACATTTTTGTTTTCGTTTTTGTTTTTGCTTTTGATTTTTTTTTTGATTCCAAAGTTGAAATGCATTATCCATAAGGAGAAATAAACTTTGCTTCCAAAGTTGGAATGCATTATCCGTAAGGAGAAATAAAACTGGGTGCTCGGTTGTCCTTCGCAGTAGAAGGGCAACAGAAGGTTGGGTTAGTGCGGTTGGAAGGAGCACCACTGTCCCAGGGAAGCATGTAGGTTCCAACCCCACGGTAGGGAGGCTTGAAATGTAGTAGAAAGTACGGTAGGCTGCTATAGCTATATGTCTGTATCGAAGCCAGGGCCTCTGGTCCCTTGTTTTTCAGGGTATCTCCCGTAAGCCAAGCTGGGTAGTGCTCCCAGTAAATTTTCCCGGGTAGACTGTGAGGACCTCGGCCTCGATCAATGTTTTACAATGAATGAATGCTCTTTCTAGTTTCTATTTGAAAAAAAAAAAGGCTTTTGATTCCCCCTCTCTCATGGCAATCTACAACTGTGTTGCCTGAAATCACTCATTCTAGTAAGTACATTCCCCTTTGTCAGGGATGTTAGCTCTTCCACTTGGAATGACTAATCTGTCAAGACTGTCAAGAGTCTCAGCTGTTGGGGGGAAGCCCCAGAAGGCCTTTTGTAAGGATTTCATCCCTCTGCATACCTGCATGTGGCCCTACAGCAAGCATGTGCCCCCCCTAAGTGAAGGGGGGCCCCCAAATCTCAATAAGGCCTGAATTTGTCAATTTTACAAAGCTTTGGTGGGCGCCAGACAGTTGCCACGCGCCAGTTGGTTACATCCATCCTGCTCGTAAGAATCAGAAATATTTGTGAGCCTTCTAGGCTCTTCCAGGAATGCTGAGGAAGCAGGGAACACCGCACGTTTGCACCTGGGTGGTTGGGGACGCCTAACCAATTCGGTCCCAGGCCACTGTCTGAATGGCCTTGGCGCAGACACTTTGCCCCGACCTGAAGCTAGAGGGCACACACGCGACCCAAGCGGGCAGCAAAGCGGGCGAGCACTTTCCATTTAGGAAAGAGCTCGCCACCAGGGCAGACATTCAGGCACTTGTGTGCAGGGTGGCAGCGCTGCTGGAGCAATCGCGCGTGGTCGGTAGCGCTAGGTGCTTGTGCGAGCACGGTAGCAGGAGGTGGGTGCTGCATGTAGGCAGCACCTGGGCCCAGCCACCATAGCCAGGCTGGGGCTCAGGGATAGCAGCGGGGATTGGTGGTGGTCCTTGGTTGGAGGAAGAGCGTGGGGGTGAAGACAAGGGCGAGCTAGAGGAGGGCGAGAAGAGAACAGAGAGGGCACGTACCTGATCGTCACTGAGGTCTGCGTGGGCGACATCTGCATGTACTTTGGGGTCTGCTGCTGTAGTGTTACATGCTGTACAGGCCCCAACCTGTTTCCCTACAGGGAGAATTCCAGGCTCTTGCCTGGAAGCTTCCTTCTGACAGGGCCTACAGGCCCCAGCCTGTTTCCCTACAGGGAAACTTCCAGGCTCTTGCCTGGAAGCTTCC